TTTATCTGCTATTACAAGGAACGAGTTGCAAGCTTGACATCTGAGTGATCATGAGGGCGACACTACAAGAGCGAGAAGACATCTTCGGGTGAAGATCAAGGAGTGCAAAGTTTTTTGGTTGAACTTAGCCGAACTGAAGGAGACTGAACGGCGTGTGTCATAAGAGCAGGATTGTGTTAGTCTTCAAGCTTCCCATGCGAATGTACAAAAGGCAGTGGATCTATGTAAGAAATTGGAGGCATCCAAGGTGGCCTACGCCGCAGTTGTGCAACATGTGGAGGAATTGATTGTGGCTTCGGCGAAGCGCAATCAATTGCATGCTACGGAGTTAGCTAAGGCGGATAAGCAAAGAGCCGAAGAGAAACGGATAGCCGAAGATCTTTGAGGTCAGATTGCTACGACGAAGACAAAGCAAGTGGAACTTCGGAGCAGGATTGCCGTGCTTACTAATGATCGTGATAAGGAGTTACAATGCGCGGATGAGCTAACGGCAAGTCTGGCGAGTGTACACCGGAAGCACGCAGTTGAATTGACTGATTAGGCTAAAAAATTGGCAGATTGCAAAGCGGCCAGGTCTTTGGAGGTCAAATGTAACGTAAGATTCAAATTGGATTGTGGTCGGTTGCAGAAGCAGTTGAAGTTAGTTTTTATGCAGTTGAAGGAGTTGCGGACGAGAGTAAAAAAGGCGGAGGCGGCATATCAACAGCTGCGAGATGAGACGACTTACGGTTTGCGTTTGCGTGTAAAGAAGTGCCTGCGCGGATTTGTGATGTGGGAAGTGTAAACGCTGAAGTGGCTGAAATTAGATTTGCTGGAGCAACGGTTGATGAGTATGAAGGTCAGCGGGTCCGCGAGGCAAAAACAGTTAGTTCAGTTAGTTAATTCTTTCTCTTCTAGATTGAAAAAGGCGCAAGAGAATATAGAGATGGAGATTGTAAATGTATTGCGTGGGTTAGAAGCCGACGGAAGCTCAGAGGACGCTGTAACCGCTGCGTCGGATGGCACCGCACCTGAAAGTAGTTTGCCTCAGGCGGTTGAGATGTCTAGGAGTTCAAGTGAATAAAGAGGCCCAAGGCTCTTTCCTAGGGGGCTTTTCTGTCAATTGGCTTGTCTTGGCTATTAATTTATATCCACTGTGCGCGTTTGTGTGCTTGTGTGTCTTGTCACCGTGCATGATGCGATCTGATTTGTTGAAGTTACCGCATTTGGAGCTGTGTATGTTCAACTCGGATGTTCTGAGTAAGCAGGGGTTTATTTGGGATTTAAGCAAATTCGGGTCTGGATATTTGGGTCAGTGAACCAGGAGTGTGCAATTTTGGAAAGTTTTCCCCTGAAATCATAGTGTGGGGTCAAAGACGATTCTCACAGGTGTCGATTGGAAAAGTTTCAGGCTATGTGTGTGTTTATACTCTGCTCTTTGAGCCTTCGGCCGTAATCGAGCAGTGTCTTCTGGGAGTAACATGTGCCTAAGAAGTAAAACTCCTCAATAGAATGTTGACTAGTGACAAATTGTGACTCTTGGTGTTGCATCTGTCTTTGTGGGAACGAATCTATACCATTATGCTCCATTTTGATATTTGTTGGTTATCACAAAGACCTAAAGTTTTCTTCCTATTAGACAATAAGCTAACTTTTCCTTGCCAACTCTCTTCCTTCCGCATATCTTACCTATGTGTCAACTTCCCGAAGGGTCACTCTTTAGATCCGTTACCATCCGGATACTAGCTACAAGAAGATTAGTATCCAGCTATTTCAGATTTTTGTATCCAAGAGGCTGGTATCCACTAATACTCTCATGTTTAGAGTGATCATATTCTCCACTGTCTCGAGACTTAAAGTGGCTAGACCTCCACTATTTCTATTTTAACAACTGGATGATGTATATTTTGTATGTCTATTCTTGCCCGACTTGATGGCTACTCGGTAGCGGGTACAAGGGCGGAATCTAAGACTACAACAACATTTCGGTCTTGCTGTAAGTACTTTTCCTAAACTGTAACTCATCCCGGACGGTTTTTGATCGACTGATCAAACTTTTGTCCTTTTGTCAAGGAGACACCGATCTCATCCAAGATTCCGGTTTTCCAAGGCCTTTTGTGCTCTAGGAACAACAAGGCACATCTTTGCAATACATTCCTTCCCCTTCAGGTTTGATTTGGACGTTGAAAATTGTGAACTCTCCACGTTTGACACCTATTCTATTCTCCAAGCGATGTCTTGATCCACTCAATCATTTTTTGCGATTCCAGATTCTACTAGCAACAATTACACTTTTAGTTGGAACAACAATGATTGCTATGCAATCGTTTTGTACTTAGACTCAAAATAGTTTCAAAAACATATTCTGAATTTCAGAAGCTAAAGGAATACAAAAACAAAATCCTAGCCTTCGGACAACTTCCGGCTTAAGAAATAAATCCTACCTGAAATTTCTACGGCATAGTGACTAACTAGATTGAAATACTCCGGATCTCGGATCACTAAAAATCCGTATCCTATAAATTTGGCTACTAATACTACTACCGCCACAACCTAAATCTGGATTGCTAGTTGGATGCAACCGAGCCACGTCGTTTATTGGTATCTAGTTATCTACTTCTAGCTGAATGATTGTGGGAACTTTGGCAAGGTTCAAACGTGGCCATAATACTTTTGGCTACGGCAAGTTTTCCACTTTCAACACTTGTCTACTGCACCTACAGTCATCCAATTTGGAACGGGATGAAAGTTGGATGCCTTATTTCACTAAATCAACTTTTTTAAATTATTTTTTATTCCTATAATCTCACTACATGTAATTTTTTATTTTCAGTCCAGAATTTATCTTATTTCTTGATCCATATGGATAATTTTTTCCACATGTATAGAAATGAAGATGTGATTACGTAGTTTTAAATTTTTTCAAAAAGATAAAGTTTGAGTAGTAGATGAGTACATTTACACTTTTATGATGATAAAAAATTAGAAGCAAATTGAATAAAAGATTTTGAAGCAGATGACTAGTTAGAAATAGTTGGAATCCATGTTAGATACCCCTCTGCTGGAGTTAGTATTTTTACTTACTGTCAATGAAGTTAAATTAGATGGGTTATGATGTGCTAGAGTAGATACCTCATAACCTTGTTATTTAGTAGCAACTTGACTAAGAATCTTGATAGATGTAGCTCGGCATGCTTGTTCTAACGAGTCAAAGAACTCATGAAATGGATAAGGAATAATCGAATTATGGATGTTGGAAGTGGCTGGTATAGATAGAAAGAAGGGCCTTCGGCTTTAACACCTTCGGCTTTGAAGCAGAAAGGCCTTCGGCTTAGTAAAAATAGGCGCCAACGGGAAGGAACATTGGCCTTTACACAACAATTTGCGCGAGTTCACGATGCGGTTAGCACATCGAGAGACAACAGCAGAAACGTGAATTCTGCGAGGACATTTTGGGAGAGTTCACTACCAAATTGAGAGTTCTGCAAGGATCGCAAGTGAGTATTTGAGAGCACAACAATGGTGCGGGTTCCAAGACTTTAATTGAAAGCATTGAGAATGTCAGAATTTGGATTGAGATCATTTTGCGATGGACTCACAGCCGTTAGGCTCAATTTTTTGCTCTGGGATGGAATTGGGTTAGCACGGCAATTGTGAAGGAGTGGTACAAGGATCGCGCACCAAAGGGCACAAGAAATTATGGTTGCCTCGAGTGTTGCACGATTGAGCAATGGGCTCAAATCTTGGAACTGTGTGCAATCAAGAAGACAATTTGCTCTACGACCACCAGAGCGTGAAAGTGACTCGGCGAGAGAAGAAAACATTTGCTGTGTTGTTCAAGTCGCCTCAATTTACCAAAAATGGGTGGCGGATGACAGATTTCATTGACGAGTTGAGACGCAATGTGGCCATGGCACTGATGCAGATTTTAAGGCCTTCGTGGACGAAGTTCATGACATCTTGGCAGGTAGAATTTGTGGAGAGCGCGGTGACGTGGAAACCAAGTTACTGGGCTCAATCTTGTGGAGTGTCAACAACAAGAATGTCCATAACAAGTTTGAGGAATTGCAGATATATCTGTCTCCGTTCTTTATCAATTTTGGGGTATGTGATTGTTGACAGAGGAGGAGAATAGGAAATTTTTGCTCGAAAGGGAAATTATCGGATCAGAGGACAAAGGAGCTCTGGGAAGAAACGAAGTTGTCAACGCAGATGACTAAGTTGAACCTAAGCGGACTTTGGCCTAAGTTGACATGTCACATGACAATGTTGAGGAATCATCTGTGAAGAGGCGAAGGAGATTGCAGACACCTTCGGCTTTGGAAGTTTGATTGACGTAGTGGATTGAGGACCAGGAGACTTGCACCTGCATCTAGTAAGGTGAAGGCACGACGCATACGGAAGAAAGTAGTGGACAGTGCAGAGTGCAGCAAGGCAACGTCGTAGCCTCAGCTATCTTTGGATCTGTGGATTGCAATGAGAGTGCAGGATGTAGGAACTGTAGCACGGCGTGGTATCAGTATTTCTTCAGAAATCACTTAGTTTACACTAAATATCTCTCAAAGTAAACCACTCCGCGTTCTTTCCCACAAAGATCTACAGTTATCCCCCTTTTAGACAATAGCAATAATATCTAATCCAACTTTGTCTTCAACTTTCGGACTGATTTGCAGTTAGTAATCTGGCTTTAGTACTATCATCAGGAAGCAATTGGCTCCATTCAAGAGTCCGGTGTACACACGACGCCCCGCGTCCTTAAGACTACCAGACCCTATTGCAATAAGTATTCCTTCCCCTCTAGCTCCTTCCGGTCAGCGTCCTTAAGACTACCAGACCCTATTGCAATAAGTCTTCCTTCCCCTCTAGCTCCTTCCGGTCATTGGAAACCGTCAACACTATACGCATAACACCTTTCCCTTTGCTTCGGGCGCTCTCTTGACTCTCATACTCTTCAACACTCTTTTCAAAGATCTACCAAAGACAATGGTACTTGGACCTATTTCGACAATTGTCCCACACATCAGAGCTATAGGTGTGTTCTCAATTGCAAAACTCAAAACGGAGTACAAGAAAGGCCCCTACCTTTAGAAACCCCCGACTTAAATGCTATCTCCTACAAGTGACCAACTAGTATGCCAATTCAAGACCGATGGCCGCCACTTATTTCTAGTGGTGGCCATTGACTCTCCGGATTAGCAGCCGGGTGCAACTAGACAGCCGGCTCACTTGGTCCCTTGTGAACCCGAGATGCTCCTCCTCCGGTCGGTACTCATAACCACATCAGGTCTTCAAGGTGAACTGACTCTAGTTGAAAAAACAATGTAGGTAAGAGAAGTCGGCAAAACAGATCCTTAACTTAGGGAAAAAGATTGGTTGTGAAGGTCGGGTTTGAGTATATGCTTCTAGACCTCGGCGGGTTGTCGGTGATCTGCCCCAACTGCTCGCAGGGTGACTGCTTCCGCGGTGAGTGAGCTGGCGGCATGAAGGCTCGGCGCTTCCACACTACTTCAAATAACTGTAGCATGAAAAGGCAAGCAACCAACCTCCGGATGCGGAAGGTCACTCAAAAGCACTCTCGGAGTAACAACGGCGGTACTCTGAACTTCCTGAACTAATTGAGCTATGCTGGCTACACCCTGTAATCCAGAGCTTTCCGAACTCTTCGCCTCTGCGGTTCCCATCTTCACAAGCGCTTGATCCGCGTTGTTCCCATTACTAACATGCAGTAAAGGTACGTCTTCGCCTACACATTTCCAAGCTTCAGCGGCGCTAAGAATTGTGGTACTTACATCGGTCAACAACCTTTCTTTCTTGGAGCAAGTCGCCTGAGCCAAAGCTGATCTACTAGAAAATACTTGCTTCAAAATTGGATCTAAACTAAGAGCTCCTTCTTTAGTTTCAATACCCTACTTAGCTTTCGCTACGGCGGAACCAATGTTTGCCAGTTGACCTATCGAATCAGAAACCATCTCTAAAGCAAAAGACAAGTCCGCAAGACTGTAATCGCATTCTACTCTTGTAAGAATGGTTTTACCGACAATACTAAGTTGGCCGACTCGCAACTTGCTAATGTGCGCAATGATGTGTTGATCCAGGGAAGTGGATGTTCCCCTATCCCTTGAAACTACGGCCAGATGCTCCCTCACCATCTTCAACGCCTCTGCAGATTGGACAATCTCTAGCTGCTTATCTTGAGTAGGCAAAATCTCAACCTGTCTAGTATCGGTGTCAGAGACGAATGGTAAAGTTTGAACCAGATTCACATCGGCCTCAACAAACTTGTGGATAATCAAAGCATATATTATTTCCTCCACGGCCTTTCGTCGTTCCTCTGCTTTCATGTCAGCTATCCTCTTGTAGAGAACTAAGTCGGTGCCGGACGGACTAGCTTCATCTACCTCTCGAGACTTCGCCTCACTGCTCGCATGCCCATGCCTCTTTGTTTTCACATGTCCTAATTTTCCGTATGCAACTGCTTCTACAAGCAATAGCGCTAGCCAGGCTTGTGAAATGGGGATGCCGCCCTATCCAAGATTGTTCAGCACCCTAACAAATACTCTTGAGCAACAATCACGAGTAAAATTGTCACTTACTCGATTACAAGCCCATCTCAATAAAGTAGCGGCCCATTTCTTACTTTCATCTACCAGGAGGACCATCTTCCTCAGCGGTGAGCACATCTAGCAGTTGGGCCAGTGCTCCCTGAACGGCTGAGTTGACCTCAGATTCATTAGCGATCTCGCGCAAAACAGGGAGACCTGTGTGAAACACAAGACTCTGCGCAGGTTTTGAGCGAGACACACAGGCAGTCAACGCTAAAATCGCACAATGTGCAAGAGAAGTGTCTTCAACTTTACCAACCTAGGCAGCGATCCCTAAAAAAGCAGAGCTCCAGCGAGGAGCAATATCATTGAGGGCATAGTTTTTTCTTCCAAGAAGTAGTCTCATAGCCATTGCTCAATGCCATTTGACAGTCTTTTCAGGAGCTAAGACAGCTGCTTAGAGTGCCTTCCCATCTCCGTCAAGCTCCAAAATCTTTGCATGATTTCCAGCAGATGCCTGAGCCCAGTTTGCAAGAGCCCAAACTGCTAAGGGTATTGTTTTGTGTCAACCTTGTAGATCATCCCACGAACCATACTTGGCCCGACTACGTTCAGAAGCAACGACTTTCTAGCCTCCCCCACCCCGCATTTGCGACTTGTCAGAAATGTTGTACTACTATTGCCATTTGAAGTGAAAGTAGGGTCCTCAGAATCTAGAACTCCTTCAACTTTTCCATGAGACTACTATATAATTTCTCACTAAGTGAGAGACTGTACTGTTCCCTCTGAACTCCGAGCACACCTGTGCCACCAAGAACTCGAATCTCAATTCCATGAACTCCCTTCCGGTTGTTGCCAATCTTACGGGGTGAGTCACTGTCGTTCAAATTTTGATCATCATCATGCCAACCACCGTCTTTCGCAACTTGGAGAGCAGCGGCAATGTCTTCGGGATCAGCATTTTTTGGAAGTTTGGGTCTAACGCTTGCGATCTCAGCATCACAGCTGGACGTAATGAGATCTATAATTGCTATCACTAGCATACTTCTCCCCCTTGAGCCCTCAGAGGCAACGTGAAGAGCTTGTCCTTTGTTTCAATCTTGAAAAACCTGTTTGGCATGCAGGGACGATGCGAACTGAAACAATAATGACAAAGCTCCCGGTCTACTCAAAACGTCCTCACAAGTACTCTCATCAGAAAGAAGATATGCTAGTGTCCGCGCAGACTCTGCTTGAGATACCAAGCAGACGTGAGCATCCACTGTTGCCACAACCTTCAGCAACTGGTCTACTACCTGACCTCTGCCTGCTTCCACAACTGCTTTTCTTCTGTACTCATGCACCGCTATGTCTGCTACCAATGCAGCTACTCGAGGCTTCAGCTAGCTTCTGTTTGAATTTATGGTACCATCGCTGGCTGTCATTAAAACAGAAATCAGACAATATGCCAATGTTGCCGTCGAAGTTCCAGCGTCAATGACACTTTCTGCACCTTCCCTCAACATCGTTCCGACAGTTTTTTTCATGTGGGCGACTGAATCCCATATAATTGACCCAGTAGAGACGAGTACTCCTTTGGCTTGGGTCGTGCTTCCTTCTTCTTTGTAGCTCATAGCAGCTACTGCACTTACTAAAACTACAACAGATGCGGAAATCGCTCCGATTACTCGTGCTTCCTCTTTGTCTAGGAAGATGAGCGAATGTCATTGTTACTTACATTCACAACCAGTCTTTCTTGCTCGAGATGATGGATCGATAACGGTAAAGCCGATGTAAATTCCTTCGACAGATTCTCCCCGTTGACCGCTGAGCTTCAAGGCCGGCGCGTCATTTGTTCCGTCACCGGTCACAACAACAACCTCATCCATAGATCGAAGCCACTTGACCAAAGTGTTTTTATCTGGCCATGACCTGAAGTTTAGGAATGCGCTCTATCATCTGCTCATTGTTCCACATACGGAAGTCAGGGCCCTCTACTGTGATTCCATCAGTAAGAATACCACACTCACGTGCTATGGCCTTTGCGGTATCAATATTATCTCTTGTGACCATCCTAACTTTAATTCCTGCTGCAAAGCACAATTCAACAGCTTCTGGAACCCCAAGGCGTACTGGATATTTAATTCCCACAATCGCAATGCAAACTAAATGGGATTCCGGGATTTCTGAAGCAGAATGAGATTCCACGACCTTATATCCAAGACACAGAGTCCTTACTGCCTGGTTAGCAAACATTCCTATAACGCCAACAAGCTCTTGGCGTGTGTCGTCGTCTAGAGGAACGACGTTTCCATCCTTATCCGCGGTTCGGTCACACATGCCTAGCACAATTTCAAAAGCACCCTTCCAGTGTGCTCATTGTTCACCCTGTGCACATCGCACAAGAACTCCCATTCTCTTCCGCTCGGAGTTGAAGAGATTCACCTTCACAATTTCTGACCAGGCACGCACTTCTTGGAATTGTCCACCAAGATTCACTCCAAGGTCAAGAACAGCAGTTTCTGTTGGTGTTCCAATGAGGGGACACTTCCCATCCTTAGATGGCTCGCCAACATCATCACTCGTGTTCATAAATATACTTTCAATGAGGATTTCCCGAACTCGAGGTGAGATCTCCGACTTCAGTTTGCTAACTTCACCGACTTTCCCAGCAATCCACGCCTTCTTGACCACCATCTTATTGGTGGTCAAAGTTCCAGTCTTGTCACTGCAGATTGTTCTGGCGGAGCCTATAGTTTCACAAGCAGCCAGGTGGCGGACCAAAGCTTTGTCGTGGATCATCTTCTTTATTGTGAACGCAAGCGTGAGAGTCATAGCAAGAGGAAGCCCTTTTGGGACGGCTACCACAATGATCGTCACGGCTATGGCAAAGTAGTCAACAATGGCAAGTACATCATTGCCACCCCAGTGCATGATACCTCTCATCTGCTTATTGACGAGAAACCTTATCATAAGGACAAGGAAAGTAAGGATTGCTGCCAGCAGCCCGAGCTTTCCAATGAAAGTTGCCAGACCATTTAGCTTGACTTGCAAAGGTGTCTCGGTATCACCAGCTTCCGAAAGTGTGGACATCAAATGGCCCCATTCAGTGTTCATGCCAACGGAGGTCACTAATATCACTCCAGAGCCATCCTGCACTTTCGTTCCAGAGAGAAGAAATGGACCGCGATCGACACTCTTGTGCCTAGGAAGACTCTCTCCAATCATACTCGACTCATCAATTGTAAGCTCGTACCCTCTGATAAGCACGCCATCTGCTAGAACCTGGTGGCCGATACTTAGATGGACAATGTCTCCAGCGACGAGGTCGTAAATAGACACTTCTTTCCTACATCCGCTCCGAGTTACTTGAATGAAGATTTTCTTCTTCTCAACGTCCAGATCTCGAAACTGAAGAGACTGCTGATAATCACTAGCAGAAGTGACAAGCACAACCAGGATGATACTAAAGCCAATGCCGGCCCCATCATATCATCCTTCTTGAAGTCCTTCAGTTGGGATACCCACAACAAGAGAGACAAGAGCACAAACTACCAATACCATCAACGTAAGATCTTGCATCGCCTCCCACACAAAAACAAAAAATCCCTTCGGAGGTTTTTCCGCATACGTGTTTGATCCAAAGACTTCCTTCCTCCTCTGAATGTCAGTCTCATCTTCGCTTATGCCTTGCTTCTCAATCACCTGCAGCTTGGCTACGAGTTCATGAATACGTCCAAGATGGATCAAAGTATCTTTGTCGTTCTTCTTGATCATCGTTGCAAGAGTAGCAGCATCGACGTCGAATCCATTCTTTTCAGCTTTCTCCCGACACAAGGTAACCTTCTCCAGAGTAATCCGACCTGCTTCAATAGATCTAAATGCAGCTTTTGTAGCTAAGCCTCCTACTTTGAATTTCTTTTTCTCACACACCTGGTCGTTTTGCTTCTTCTTGTTCAGATCAAAGGTGTAACGAAATCTGCGAGCCGCATTGATCGTGAACGTAGATGCCCTTCATTTCTCTAATACTTTGTCTCCAGCGTTCTTAGAACTTTCCAAAATAAATTTGGACATGGTAGCAACGTGTCTCTTCAGCTCTCACTATTGCGATTAGAAAACCACAAAACTCCTAAGGAGACGTCAAACTTTGCAGTGCCAAAAATCTACATCTGACCCTCGTCGTAGTGATGCGAGGCGGCTCTCTTCATCTAGCTTCTCCTCTTCTCCCTCCCCGAGCCCTGTAGAAGGTGGAACAAAAACTGAACTCTAAAGTGAATAGCATAGAATATGGAATGTCGTCCTCGGTGTCAGTCAGTCCGCCTTCCAGCCAATACTCTTATGAATCGAGGGCTTCTTGGCATGTCCCAAAAATCCTGAATCCTGTAAAATTTCAGATTTGTCTGTGGTGGTCTTTACGCGTGTGCTGACGCTGATAATGCTCACCAGACCACGCGGCGAAAACTGTCCCTCGCTTCTCACTCCGTCAAGAAGGAGAGAAAGCCCCGAGTGCTTCCGATCCGCGCCACCTCTCTTATGATCATGCGTTTTAGAATGCTTCCCGGCTCCGAATCGACGCCTGCAAATCACCACAGGAAGCTTCACGCTAATTGCAGGAGAGCAGATCATGCAGGTGCACGAGATCAAAAATGTCCTCTTCCGGCCCCAAGACCTAATACTACCATGCGAGATGCAACAGAGTGAGGCGCGTTGAGTTCGGCCCACCGTTCCCTTCGAGAGCCCTCCTCCCCTCCCTCAACCTTCTCATTGGTAGTTACTACACACTAACCTACAAACTTACTTCTTCTATTACAAAAACTTCATTTTAAAAAAAAAATTTGGCCAAAATTACTTCTTTGGCCGATTACTAGCGGAATTCACTTTCCAGAGGAACAGAAAACGAATGGCTTTGGCAGAAGACCTTCAACCTTGGGAGTGACGACCTTTGAATGTGCCTAAGGAGAGGCCTTTGGCAAAAGGCGAAGAGGAATAAGACGAGACCAAGACAAAGACTTCGGGTCAACACCTTCGGCTTTCGGATCAACCAGAAGCGACTCGGGCAAAGATCTTTGATCTTCGGGCAAACAAACTTTGAAGGTGCACAAAGAAATTGAGAAATCTTTGGAGGTTGCTCCTTTGAGCAAAGGACCTTTGGAACAGTTTGCGGCGACAATTGGAAAGAAAATTACGGAGATACAAACACTGGCGACAATTGGAAAGAAAATTACGGAGATACAAACACTGTCTTTCTGTGAGGTGTCTTTGGGGACAATGAAATTCAATCGGGGCGAAGAACCTTTGGCCTACGAGCCGAAGTTGGTAGAGTTTAGTCTGTCGGATCTTTTGAATGAGAGGATTGTTTCGTTAGTGTAGTATTTAGATAGGAAGATGGTGAAATACTCGGTGCCAGCGTCTTCGGCGGGATCTTATGTAGAGTTGGTGTACAAACGGATGAAGGCAAAGGCGGCAGCAACTGCTGGGGTGACAGAACAATCGTGACTTTCGAATGTGCGACCGTGACAGTTACCTTGCAAGAGCGAGAGGAGCAACTTCGGGTGAAGGAGTTGGAGTGCAAAGAATTTTGGCAAGAGTTAGTTGTAGAGAGGAGCTTTTGTACGTAGAAGGAACAGGAATGCAAGGACCTTCAGGTCGAAGTTTGCGCAGTACAAAAGGTGAAGAAGAAACTTCAGGAAGAATTGAAGAACTCTCGGAGAATGTTTCAGAGAGAATTTTAGTACGCGGAGGAGCTCACATAGCGTTTGGTGGCACAAAAGTGGTTTGTTGCTGCCAAAGTAGCTCTCTAGCAGAATCAAATAGCTACCTGTGAGGCTACTAGATCTTTGAAGTTGGAGCGTAAAAGAGAGATAAATGTAGATTGCAGAAGGTTGCAGTCTCATTAGGCCTCGGCAAGGTAAGGTAACCTTTGAGGGTTACCCGGTAAAAGGATTAAAGGTAAGGGTAAAGGTAGAGGTTTGGCTATATGGTAGGGTAAAGGTAACATAAAGGTAGAGCCATATGGGTTACCCGGTAATTACCGGATAACCCTCTTAACCGCAAAAAATAAAAATGTGTACATTCTCAAAATTATTATAAATACAATTCTGCACAAACAATCCAGGTGAATTGTACTAAATAGGTAAATTACCTTTACCTTTTACCCTTTAGGGTAGAGGTAATAGGTAATTACCGGGTAACCCTGATCTTTTATTCTTTAGGGTAGAGGTAATAGAGTAATTATCCGGTAACCCTTATGTAAAAGTAACTTTTGAATTTTTTAGAATTCGTATCGGGTAACCTGGTAATTACCCTGAGGTAGAAGTAAAGAGTAAAGATAGACTATTGTGACACGAGTAAGGTAAAAGGTAGAGTACAGGTAGAGACCCATGGCTTACTTAGTTACCTTTTACCTTACCTTGCCGAGGCCTAAGTCTCATATGTCGGCAGTTGAGGAGCAGTTGGAAGCTGCTTAAACAAAATTGGTGGAGACCAAAGCAACCATCAAACGTCTTAAACATGATACAGATGTTGGTTTGCTAGCTAGAGTAAAACGATGCCTTCGCGGTTATGTGGATTGAGAGATCCAGATCACAAAGTGGATAAAGTTAGATTTGTTGGAGCGTAGATTCAGAGGTTTGGAAGCCAGCGAAGTGGTAGGACATTGACAGTTAGGTAGAATAGTTCTTTCATATCTGGTTTGAAAAAGACTAGGGAGAACTTAGAGTTAGAGCTCATAGCAGTTCTGCGTAGGATAGGAGTAGTCAGAAGTTCTACGGGATGGCAACTGCTACCTTCGTGGACGTCGCATCTGATGGAGGCTTGCAGCTAGCGGATGATGTCTCCGGGTGTTAGTTGTGAATAAAGTGGTTCAAGTCTCTGCCTTGGGGGAGATTTTCCATTAGACAATTCTCAAATCTAAGTCTGCATTCTTTCTCACACTCGTGAGTTGTGCGTTTTGTTACAATGCAGGAGTTGCTTAGGTTTGTCAAAGATACCGCATTTGAAGTAAAGTAGCCAACTCGGGTGTTCTAAGTGATGCATAGTGTAGCTCAGGATTCAAGCACACCTGTAGATTGGTTGCTTGGTGCAGTAGGTTGAGTGTGTAACCTTGGGAAGTTTCCCCCAAGAACTGTAATCAAGTGCAGATTTGCTTGCGGTTTCAGTGGTGTTTATTGGATGTATTTCAAGATTTTGATGTGATCATACCTTGCATTTGTAAAGACTTTGGGTTAACACTTGCAGATGCTTCTGGGACTGACATGTGCCTGAGAAGTAAAACTCCTCAATAGAATGTTAATTGTGGCAGTTGTTGAATCTCCACTATTGTTTTTGTCCTCATGGAATCGGATCTGTACCATTATGCTCCATTTGGGTATATATCTGTTGTTACAGAAGACACTCTTGCAATCAATCATAGTGGTAAGGCGCTACATTTACGTGGACATTGATCCTTGTGCACGTAAGGTGGCATCATCGTGCATGTGGGACTTTAGCACTAGGTTTTCGGAGCGGTTCCTTGCCATAGCATAGAAGTAAAGCTTCACCTTCTTCTCCTATGATTTTCAGCTCATACAACAACAGCATCTTTATCTCCTCAATATCCTGGACTTGATCGTTGTAGGTTGGGAGTGCCAAGGTTTTTCAATCGCTGGTTTTGGAACTAGATTGGCTGATCAAAGGTTTAAACTTTGGATGGATCTGATCGGATCCTTACTTGGGTCCAATCACTTTTTCCAACAGTTGGTTATGTCACTGAACAATATCCTAGCTCAGTATGACTAGAGGAAAAAGGTCTAAGAAGATAGCATTTTGATTCAACATTATTGATGCCGCTGTTGTTGTATCTAATCCAATGTGGTTCTTACGCACACCGGCTACAAAATCTTTGGACCAACTTGGCGTGCATTTTTCTCTTGAAATTGGCTCTGAAAAACACAACTTGAGATCTTACACTTCAAGTTTCTTAAATCTTGGATGCAAATAGCTCATGCCAATCAATTACCAAGCAAGAAAAAGCATCTTGATTTTCAATCATTATCATTGGACAGCCAACAGTTGCTTGACTCACATTTGTGACCTTTTTAGTTGTACATGTTTTTTAGGCTAATGAATCAAGACTTGTGTATTGTCACACTACAGATGCATAGGATGAATCAAACCTCAAGAGAGGAAAAGGGCCATGTAATTTCATCCAAGTACCAGGGGCCCAATAAAGGTGACCAGGTTAGAACGCAATTCACTTGGATAGAATGATGGATCTCAGCGCCCTCACTTGGTTGCTGATCACTTGCATTTTCTTTCAGATGTACCTTGCACCTAGCGTGGATGGAACCAAGATGCAAGCACACTTTGCTTTTTAGTGACATCTTGACTAAGTACATTTACCAATACTCAACACTCTAAACTTCACACTAAGTGTTGGCGGGTAGAAAATACCATGCAATTGATTCAAAGTTGACTCCAACCCAAATAAATATATACTTACATTGTCACCAATGGTACAAAGCACAACTGCTTTCAAAAGAATTCATGCAGACACACCGACAACTACAACCAACTACATGAATAAACTAGGAAATCATTGCCAAGCCAACAGTTTGAGTAGCGTAGAAGCCGGCACATCAAGATAATCAAACACAAATACTATCTCAATCCAATGTGTAGCTAACTATCCTTTCATCATAGGCAACAGCTGATCAAGAAGCAAAGGGTTTAGGGTCTAAATTTACTACTTAAGTACAAGGATGTGTTTACTTCCTCCGTGAAGGATTTAGGTTTGTGCAAGGTAATGCAATTCTCCATTGATCTGGTTGACAAAAAACTATTATACAAGAAAGATGTTCCATGAGTAAACATAAATAGATGAGAGGTGCATAGAGTTTTATGAAGTATAGCTTATCTAGCACTCTAACTCAAATTTTGCAGCCACTACAATCATGTTGGCAAAGAAGTACAGCAACAACACTTATCTACTGCATCTATTGTCATGCAATCTGGAATAGAATGTTAGTCCTCGGATGCCTTATTTAACTAAATTTAATATTTTTAATTTATTTTTTTAGGACATTTGTCTCACTACATCTAATTTTTTATTATCTAGCTAAAAATTACCTTATATCTTGATACATGTTAAATCCACTTTCCACTATATACACGACTGTCAAAATCCAGTAACCTCAATTTTTCATTTATTCCACACTCAATCAAAGAGTTGTTAGATTTTGTGACTATCAAATGAGATGACTGATTCATGAAAATCAAGATTGCAACCTTATAGTATTGTATATCGACCTTCTTGTTATACTTCAATTGACTTTTTTTTACCATCTTTATAAAAGATCTACTCCACATTCTAGTCTCTGCATTCAAAATGACATCCATCCATTAAAACATTAGGCAGATATTAATGTCCAAATCATTTCAAAATCCTAGCTTATTGTCTCCTTTTGATCTAGTGATAAGTATTTATTAGACTAAGATAAGTTTGGCTTTTCTTTTCTTGTTATAAATTTATTTATAAAAAATTGTAGAGTTGTATGATTTCATCTTGTTGGATAGACCTTGATCGAGGATGGTAGATGTCATAGTATTGAGGAGGAGCTAAACCTTGTATTATGTATGAGCTAAACAAGAATTGTGTTAAGGTTTTAGCAAGATCAATAGTTACAAAAGTAGTAGTTTTACAATATAAAAAGTCACAACCTT